ATATATTGAAAGCTATATTTTCACAGAATGTGACCAGAAAGTTATATATTTATCTGATTGAAGAATCAAATTGGTTTCTTCTTCTAGAGTCATAAAAGGGGCAATGTCTTGGTTTGAAGTTCCAACATTTGCTGTTTTATCATAAAAATTAGTCCCCTACAGACAAAACCAGGAAATGTTAATAGCATCGGATTATGTCTGATAGTGATTGTCCCATAACCTTGTCTGGGTTATAATTTATGAACAGCTCCCAAAACAGCTGTCTTATATGATTGGATGCATCATGACTGGATTGCATGTCACATCGGTGGGTTTTTTACTGCCATTTTACAACAACCTGTTCCTTTTCCAATTGGGAAAATAGTCTTGAAGTGCGAGCGCCGGTTTTGTTTCTATTGGAAATTTGTTATAAATTCTTTTCAAAATGTAAGAAGATGAAAAACAATAACAAGGTTAGAATTTTGATATCATAATTTTAATCAAGTTTAAAAAGGTACCACCAAATCAATTCACTGAAGAAGATCTTGAAGATTTGTGTCTCTTTAGACTAAGAGGAATGAAAACCTCTCATAGCCGTAGTTTTCTGGTTTTCCTTCTCTAAAGAGATTAAACAGTTCTTCCAGATCTGATTCTGTAAGGGAGTGATCCATGTGGCTCACTCTGACCACTGCTTCCAGTTGGCCCTGTGAAAGCCTGTTTCGCTTATATAGGGGTTAAGAGATGTTTTTCATGAGGCTAAAAGATTTTCCCACCACAGCAGTGGAGGAAGGGATGATCATCCCAAGCTGATAAACCTTTGTCACAGATGGGAAGCAGCCCTGCAATACAGCATTTTTCAAATAGATAAGACATGTCCCTGATATCAAAACAATAAAAACATTTTGGTTGACTTTGATATAGAGGCTTACTTTTCCATAGTCCACCACATCTTGGAGAGTGTCAAGCAGCTGGTTCTTTGGATCCAATACGCTAAAGAAACCCCAATACTGGTGCACCAGTAGTGAATGCATTCTCAATCTCTGATATCAATGCATAGATAAGAGGCATTCCTGTGAAATATTTCAAATCCTATCCAATTATAATTTAAAATCATAAAAGCACGTTAATAAATCTGTTAGCATTTAATATACTTCACCTTGTTACATACACTTTTAAGGTTTCTGGTGCGAGATTAATACCAGGCATGCAATGAAGGCCCATTGTGCCTCTTGTTAGATAAACAGCATGGTGAATTTAAATCTTTTCCATGTCGATGTTACAACTGCTGTTGGCAGAAAATCTTTATTCTATATAACCTACAATATTTATTTTTTTAAATAGAAATATTCATTGCCTTACCACCATACATTTGTAGAGGGTGACCCGAAGCCAGAAACATGATGTTTTGGGTATACTTATGCTGGTTATGATAATGGTATCAATGTACAATGTCGGTAGTTGTCACTGAAGTATCATTAAGAGTTTCCTTGTTATCTACCTGTACATATACTGCATCGGTATGCATTGTTACTTAAAGCAACAGTCTGCTGTATACATATAATTATTATATTGAGATCAATACAGTTTGAACTGCTTGCCTGGCTTGGTGAATCAGATAAGTGCTGGGACAGAAGTTGTGCGCCTGGTTGCAAGGTGCCGTAGGCTAAAGTATATGTGCAGTTTTGAAGACTTTGATGTAGTGATTTTCCTGAGCTGTGAGTTGTATTGATTGGTACCTGCAGTCTCCTATTGACATTGAACCCTGATAAGGCCATACTCAGCTGTCTGTATGTTTCCTCCCTGTCTGGACACCTTGTCGGGATCAGCAACCCCACAGGGACTTTGAAGTGCTTTCTATTCCCTGATAAATCCAGGTACTGTATACTTACTGTCACCATCTAGCTGTAAAGTCTACCTCTGCACCAGTGTTGCGTGTTCTTTTACATGTTTTTACAGCTTGTTGGTCATTGCTTACATTAATGAAGGATTGCATTGTCTACCTGTAAAGTTGCCACTCAAGAACACTTGGAAGGGTTTTCTGTTTGTATTATTGTAGGTCTAAATGACGAGTATCCAAACATGCATTAGCATGCAACAATTGCAAGTTTAAATTGAAGTTGATTGTTTGTAGTTTAAAAACATACATGTACAGTGTTACTTAGTAATATAAGCTGTGCTTTTATAATTAGGTCATCTGACACAGGTGAGTGTCTATGATCTTACATGTTTTGGTGCTTTATTTAGATCTGTCTATTAGCTACAGTACCATATGTTGTGATACATCATACAGCCTACATTAACTCTTCATTAAATGACACTTCTTCTTCTCCTTCAGGCCAAAGGTGATAGGTCTGCTTGAAAGTTTGCCAGCCATAGCTAGGGTGACAGGCTGTCAAAGTAGTTCATTCAACTTGTCCTTGGATGGCCCATCATCTAGATCTGTGAACATATATATATATATATGACCTTACCTGTTTCAAGGGTGAACACTTCGGTCGACTTCTTAATATGCAATGTTTAAGTTTTATTATGTCTCCCCTTCAAATGAAGTGAGACATATATATTGTATTAGTACTGGTTCTTCTAATCGCAACTTGTCCGGGCCATAACTTTTAAACCGTTAAAGATATCTTGATGAAACTTGAGGTATGCATGCATCACCCACAGAAGGTATGCAGTGCACTAGAATAAGGTCACTGTGACCTTCACCTCAATTTCAAAGGTCAAATAAGTTCAACATTTTCAGTAAATTCTTGTCCGTCCTGTGAATTTTAAACCGATCAAGATATCTAGATCAAACTTGGTGAACTGTACCTGCATCACCCACAGAAGGTGTGCAGTGTACTGGAATTAGGTCTTGTGCTTCACTGTATACAGAATTATGGCCCTTTGTTAATTTTTAATACCAAAGTTTGTCCAGAGCTTAAGTTCCATGTTATTTTACCTTTGTTGACCAAACTTACCAAATTTATGTATCTTAGGAAGGCGGAATCTCTCTCACTGAAATCAGGTCTTGTGCCCCACTATATGTAGAGTTATGGCCCTTTGTTTATTTTTTATATCTAAGTTTGTCCATGGCATAACTTCTTAACTGTTAAAGATATCTTAATCAAACTTGAAATATACCTGCATCACCCACAGAAGGTGTGCAGTGCACTAGATTTAGGTCTTGTGTATTTCACCTATGTTGACCAAACTTAACATATTTATGTATCTTGGAAAGGCGGGATCTCTCTCACTTATATCGGGTCTCGTGCCCCGCTATATATAGAGTTATGGCTTTTTGTTTATTTTTAATAACGAAGTTTGTCCACGGCATAACATCCATGTTATTTCACCTACGTTGACCAAATTTGCTATACTTATGTATCTTGGAAAGTAGGAGTGTTGCATTCTAAATTCGGGTCTCGTGCCCCACTATATAAAGAGATATGGCCCTTTGTTAATTTTTTATACCGATGCTTGTCTATTGGCTAATAAGGGGAGACATATGTTTTTGTTCACAAAAACAAGTTTCTAGTTTTGCCTGAAAGTGAAAGTTGAATAATTTAAGGGTGCCCAAAAAATTTGAAGGGAAAAGGTGCTCATAAACATTCAGCTGATTTTTTGCCAGTTTATGGGTCTGTTCATCTTTAGGTCATGTGAATCACTCGGATAACCGACTTGTTGTGATTGCCTGTCATCTGTAAATAATCTCAGATAACTCGTCAGGGGGCTGAGAATTTGAAGCGTTTCTGGGCCATAAGGGGTCACAGAGTGCTTAACTTTCAAGTAATAATATAATGCAAAATCTCTTCAGAAACTAACCATAAGATTTCCATCATCATTCCACTATAAGAAATGAAGATAGCTTTAATAATCCTTAGATGATGAGGACCAGATTCTATGTTTGAAAAATGTCTGACCCCCAATTTGCAGAGAAGCAGATAGAGAGATGGTGTCACACTGCAAAACGTTCAAATAACATATATATACTTATTAAAAACAGCCAGTTAAGTTTATTCACCTCCAGTTGAGGGGAACGAAAAAACACATACAAAATCATGTTTGCTAAAACTGGTTGTCTCTGGCGTCGGGCAAGTGGATTTTTATACTTTTGAGTAAAGGATGACTCCCAAAGGGGGCTCAGGGACTGGGGCTATAAGGGGAGAGTAGTTAACAGTTACGTATACATGTATGTTGACTTAAAAAGAATTTGGTCAATGGTTAAAGCCATTTTGTCTGCAAGGTTTGCTAATTAGCCTTACACATGATTACAGTTATGTGATCAGGAGCACTGCAGGCCCTCTTGGCCTCTTGTTTTATATTCGTTTTATGATTGATACTTCTTATTACAATTACGTTATTAACAAAACATTTTTCTTGTGAAGTTTTTAAATTCAATTAATTAATGCAAAAATTGATCTCAATTACGAGCTTGATATTTCTGCTCAACTTGATTTGTGTACTTGACCAGCACTTGTTGGTCATTAGCAGGGGAAATAGCTGATAGTATTTGAGTTAGATTGTTTCTCAATGGTCTAATCATTGATGCCTAGACAGACGTGATCATCATTCCAGTTTCCTGGTGTGGTGCAGCAGTGTGCAGCATCTGCACCTTCACCATATGAGATCAATACATAACCAAAACCATCTTGAATCACCAATTTCACATTTACTCTAGAGTCACTGCAGTTCCTTCCCTTAACCGATATCTTAATTAACTGCAAATGGCATGCGAATTTGAATATTCATGTTGAAATGTGATTGGTAGATGGGTCCTCCGTGGAGCCTCCCGATGACATCATGGAGTTGGTAATATCTGCTGTAAAGGAAATTGTCAATAATGAGCTGTGTACGTAATGCTGCTGTTCGGAACTTAATGTTAATGTGAAAGCCGTTCTGAGTGTGCTTGCTGTGTGCTGGCTCGTCATCACTGGCAGAGAAAGCTGGCATTGTCGGAGCAGGAGCTGTAGTGAGTAGCCACTGACTCATTTTCTGGCACTGTTAGGTTGGAACTGACGAGACACTCCAAGGTAGCCACAGGTTCTGGAAGCATCGTTCTCGGTGTCATTTCTGACTTAGTTTGTTCCATTCAGCAAGATTCAGTTACTGGTTTCCTTGGATATGCTTTACGGAAGTTAACAAGTTTGTTGGTGGATGTGTACCTGAGAACGTTTGATTGGATTTCCTCTAGCTGTGTTTTAGTGGAGTATGTGTACGTAGAGGTAAATGTGACATGTCTGGGATGTAAAGTTTAGTAAAATACCACACGCTCAATATATAAAACATTTTAAGATCCTTAATATATACATACATAAAGACGTGTGGAGATTTTTTTTCCATATTGATATATACTATCACGTATATTGAATGTGGTTTTGATGTTAAAATTTAATGTGATTCAGAAGAAAAAATCTTTTTCTTTTCCTTTTTTCTTAAGTCATCATTCTTTCAAAAAAGCCCTACTGAGCTGGCTGCAGTTAAAACATAAAAACTGCTGATAACATTTTCAATTTATCTAATTGACCTCACTTTTAATGTATGGTTAAAAACAAAAGGTTGAATTGGAGAAAATTTATTGATTAGTAAAGCAGTTTGAAAACTGTCTCTTTAGGTAGTAAATGTATATGTTATCTTGTGAACATCGGAAAAATTAAAAGAAAAAAAGTGAAGCGGTTTATTGAGCTGCAACAAAGATTGATTATGCCCTGGTGTAATGGCTGTGAGTGCCTGTGTACATGTATGGATATGATTGATGTGGCCCTAGATGAGATGACTCATATCTCACCTCAGCAGGTACTGAGGCTGATGGCTCCAGGATCAGGTTGAACAGGTGTATTGTTGTATAGCTCCAGTGATCACCTACATAAAGCTCCCTGAACCAATGACCAGACAGGTACAGCCCCCAAACTGATGAGGGATTGTAAAGTACCATCCGTCTAGATTGGCTATTCCTATGTTAATATTGATCCTACTACTCCTGTTTGATGTCTGCCGCCTATGACAGTGAAACACATAGCACCATTATTGGTAATTTAGTACTGGTAACGGCATATGTAAATTGTAAAGACATAGGTGAAGAGGAAATGACTCATCATGGTTATTGGTGCAAGAAGTTTTATCTATTGTTTTATTGCATGTCAACAAGTGTTGTTTTTTTTCTCTATTTGACCGACATTTAGTTGCTAAATATTTAAACTGCAGAGTGACAATTGATGAATTGGTAGGAAGTAAAAGCATCTAAATCCTTTTCTATGACTTAGATAGGAATATTTTAACGGTAGTAAAAGGGTTTTAATATCTTTTCAGAACATAATGTAGGTTAATGATTCTCTCATCTTACAGCCAATCAGGATTTGTTTATATTTGATTATTTTTTTCTAGAGAGAAAAATTGTCAAATAATTCAATTCAGTACAAATTGATAGGTTTATTGTGATCATTTGTAGACTTCAATATTATATATGTATATAGGCTTGGTCATTGGATCAATTTTTAGCTCACTTGGTCCCTCCCGCATTTTTGTAATGACTTATTCTGAAAAACCAACCAAGTGACTTGGGATGATGAAGGGCTGTCAGGAATGCCCAAATGGTCTGGAATGAAACGTGTTAAAGCTTTTATAGGCACTTATTCTGAAGGATTAGGAGGCCCAAATTCATCCAATTTGATGACCGGTCAGGGTGTCCATTTTCTATATATTCCTATAAATTCCTATATTTATCACTCATTTGTTCAGAATTTCCAAAATTGAGTAGGGTTTTGAGGATTACCGGGTAATAGTACTTTAACCATATACATGTACAAGATGAAACGCCATGTACTTGAGTGAGTTCCAATATTGGTGTAGGTTGTGTAAGTTGAATGTGCATTGGTCAATTATTTTAATTATTTGTTCCTGTGTTATTAGAAGAAGAAAAAGTTGTCAGTGCATTTTAGGTCACCTGAAACAAAGTCTCAGGTGACCTTTGCATTTTGTCCATTTTCTTGCATCGTCCATCCATAAGCAAAATTCATATTATTAACTTCTTTTCCAAAACCACACAACTGATTTCAATAACATTTTACAGGAAGTTTCCATGGCCAAAGGCAATCCAAGGTTCTGTATTATATGGATCTAACCCCCAGGGACATGAGTGCTAAGGTCAAAAGGGGTCAAATTCAGACTCAGATATGAGTTTCTTAATAAATATTGTGAATTTCATCTTAACTGGCTATCCTATCCCCCCTGGGAAGGAAGTTAAATGTACTAAAGTTTAAATAATCATTCAATTTTAGTTAAAACCATAATGATATTATTGCAGTTTGACAGTATGAAAATTTAGCCGAAGACTCGTGAACACAGCTAAACTTGCAACAATCTTCTTCTTCAGACCGAATATGCTAGAATCAAATACGGTTGATCAATTGAAAGATCCTAAGGTGCTTTATCAAAATTGTGAATTTCATTAACCCTGGACACGTGCACCCATTACTCCCTTTTTGGAGGAGCTAGAGTTTACTACAGTTTATATAGAAATTAACACTTTTTGGTGTATTTTGTTTACTTTCTGTGGGAAGTCAATTCAAACTCGGTTGGAATATGTGATTGTATGAAAATTTAATCCCAGACTCTCCCCTAGGGCCTGATGGTCTGGGTCAAATTGGCTGAATTTTTGAACAATCAACTTCACACCCAGATATGCAAGAACCAAAAACTTTTCATTGATGTTAAGGTCCTAAGGTGCTTTATCAAAACTAAATTTCATTACACAAGGTTCACTATTCCTCCTTGTGAAGGGGTTACATTTTACACAAGTGTTATTTAACTATTCTCTGACATTTACCAGCTTTATACATTGTGTATATATATGTTGGTCACTCCCCACCATCAATAGATTGGGTGGCTCATCTAGTCACACCGGCTTTGGCGTCCAAATCAGTGCCATACTTCAAGATAAAAGTTTTTGAGCAAGTTTTTCCGGACTGATAGATCACCATAAGCAATATATGTATAAGCTTTTGACTTATGAGGTTGTGGTATTGATACGGAGGTAATACAAGCAATGTGCTGAACCATTATTCATATTTTAGGGGCCAAATGTAGCTTAATTACATCCCGGACTTCTAAGCAAGTTTTTTGTGCATTATCAGATCACCACACCAACTTGTAGTTGACTATTATAAGGTTGAGGCATTACATGGAGTGTGAGTAATGTGCTTAAAACAACTTACTTTAAAATCAGCTTGGTGTGGATCATTTTATGATGCTGTAATAATGTATTGTAATATACGGATGTACAAAGATATGTCAAACACTGCATGTAGCCCATCTTTACATTGTACAAGAAAACCTCAAAATAACGAGACCTGTGCAGCAACCATTATGATACATGTACATGTACTTATATCACAAATAAGTGAGCTATACAGTTCTCCAATAGCTCTTGTTTTGTAAAAGCCAAGAAAAGTCAGTGTATATATATATGTGTTCATGCAGATTCAGATTACATAGTGTGGAATCTTTTAATTCATTACCATTTTTCATTTGTTATACAAGTACATGATAATGAGTATATATGTAGCATTTAAAACTCAAATATTAGCACAAAACATCTATAGGAAATCCTATAAATTTCCTATATTTTTAAGAAAAAATAGTAGGATCCTAAAAAAAAAATAACTGGAAGTGATCATGAGTATACACCCTGTGACCTTGACCTGATTTAAAGGTCACATGGTTTAAATTATTTAAACCTTTTCATTATTTCTTCTGAATAACTATAGGGCCCGGGATCGTGCTCTTAAGCCTGTAGTTTGCTGGAATGAAGTGCAGTCAAATTCATTAAAATGAATTTCCTTGACCCATCTTCAAGGGCACAGGTGTCAAATGTTTTGAAACCAAGAGATGTAAAGTAATTCATATTTTTGCTGATAGCATACTTGAATAAAGGGCTACATATATTGGTTTAATAAATACCCATAATATATATAAAGTAATATTAATGATGGCCTGTTTGATAAATTTACCTATACCCTCTTTGAAGGTTATAGATGTGCAGTGAATAACAGGTGAGCAGTATAGGCCCTATGGGCCTGTTGTTTTTAGCTCAACATTTACCAGCAACAAATGAGCTAGTCCTGTTCCTCCAGCATATGCATGCCACAGTTTTCTGTTCAGCATTCATAAGGGGTCTAGCTATATATACAATATGTATTTTTATACTATTCTTTTGCATCAACAACTTTCGACTCCATAAATGTGCATCCCACACACTTCCTGTTTCACATATGGATAATTTGGGGTCTAGGTGTGGTATAAAGCCAACAAAATGTTTCGAGTTGAAATTATTTGAATTTATTTTCTGAATTTCACCATATTTTGAATATGGCTGTGATTATATATACCCCCTAAAAGGATAGGAACCCAAGTTTGGTACCAATGGCTGAACTTATTATCCCCTTGCAACAAAAGTTTGAGGGGATATAGGATTCCGCCAATACGTATTTTACACTCTTTGTTATCGCTCTAGCGACTTAATTCCTTGGCAGTATTTATTATGATCTTGAACAAAATTTGCATTTCAGGGTTTCATGTTGAAGGTCAAGGTCACTGTTCTATTTTTAGAAAAACTTTGTCATCTCTCTTCTGACTTCATTCCTCAACAGAACTTTATTAAACTTCATACAAGTGTTTGGTATGGCAATGCCTTAAACAAATTCTCCTTTCAGGTTTCTAATTTAAAGGTTAAGGTCAGTGTTACTATTTTTAGAAGGAAAAAAAAAATCATCGTTCTACCGACTTCATTCCTCAACTGAATTTCATGAAACTCGATACCAGTGTTTAGTGTGACAATATCTTGAACAGGTTCACAAGTTGCTGTGTTAAAGGTTAAGGTCACTTTTACTATTTTTACAAAAAAATCTGTCATTGCTATATTTACTTACATATGTCACAATGTGTGAATGCGAGGGGATTTGTATCAGCTGTCTTTGATGTTTTTGGGGTTACCTTTTTATTTTTTCCATCATTTAGCTCGCCTGGTTATTTTGTTTACGTGTATTCACATCACTTTTGTATTAAGTGTTAACATTAATAATGTTTTATGTGACTGAATCAATACTCAACATTTCTTTCTTTTTTTCTACTTTGCAGGAGTGAGAAGACCTCAAGTGCCTTGTTTGTGTGTGTGATAACAGATAAAAGATAAACATGACGACAGGTAAGGCTCGGCTTCATTCTTCTGGTTTCTAAAACTAATCTCAAACCAGATTCTTTTGTTTTCAGAAGGATTCTAAAGAACAACAATATTAGGCAGACTGGGAAACAAAGCATCATGTTTTTTATTAATCAACTTTCATTTCACCTGGGAGTAACCAGTCTGATGGACATGGAAGAATGATTCTAGAGAACTCGCCAAGTGCTATTATGGGATTTTTTTACTAACACTTGACTGTAGATTGCTGATTTTAATGCAAGTGAGACAGACACTAACAAATTACATAACAGATGGGTTCCTCCTGATTGTCAGTAATATTTCAGTATTTAAACAAATAAATGTAAGGTCAGTGCTAGAAAGAAGAAAAAAGAAAATGTTTTAAACTAAGTTGGACCATTATATTAGTCAGGCAGCTGTCAACTTTGATGTTATTTATGAGCAACTAATTTGTGAAACGTATTGGAGGTTGTTATTGCTTTAGATTTTACACTCCGCTTAACTTTTGAAAATGTTTGTTCAGGGCATAAATTCTCTACTTTATCACCTGGAGTAACCAGATTTGGTGTACAAGGACATTTTGAGATGGCGGAGTGCTGAGTGCAGTAATTAAGTAGCTATGACTTGACCTTTAACCTTCAGATTTGAAAAAGTTTGTAATGAGCATATCTTCTGTACTATTTCGCCTGGAGTAACCAGATTTGGTGTACAAGGACATCCTGGGATGGCAGAGTGCAAGAAATAGGTAACCTTGACCTTTGACCTTCAGATTTGAAAAAGTTTGTCCGGGGCATATCGTCTATACTTTTTCACCTGGAGTAACCAGATTTGGTGTACAAGGATATCTTGGGATGACGTAGTGCAGAATGCAAGAGTTAGGTCACTGTGACCTATGACTTGACCTTTGACCTTTACTTTTGAAAATGTTAGTCTTGGGCATATCTTTTATACTCTTTCGCTTGGAGTAACCAGATTGGTTTACAAGGACATCTTGTGATGGCAGATTACAAGAAGTTTGTGTCAGGATACTTTCCTAACAGTAGGTACATCCTGTTTGTTAAATATAGAAATCATTACCAGTGGGGGACGATGGATTGCCTTGCAATACTCTGCCTTGTTATTTCATAATATTGTAATGTTGTACATCTGTTTTGATACATGACAAAAAGTTTGATGCTTCAAAATACTGAAAATCAGCAGGAACCCACCTTTTAACGTGCATGTGAAATCATCAGTTATAAATGGTCTAATGAAAAACTGAAACATTTTAGCAAGAATTTGTTGATAAACACCATTTGACAAAGTGTGCCGTGTACAATTATAAATAACACAATGCTTGATTAGTATTTAGAGTTATTTATCTAACATAAACATATGCATGTATAACATGACTACTGGGTAACCTTTAACCATACTATCAAAGCCTTGTTATGAAAAAGTTAAAATTTAACTATATTCTGCTCGTTTAATCTGCAATATTTTCTCAAATCCCTGCTGTCAATTAATGAAGAGGATTTTGTTGCATTATAAGAACCACCAGAATAAACAAGTTTATTATTACAGTTAATACTTATCAGAAACTATCTCTTTATTACTAACTCTATACAAACACACATGTTTCTTTTGAGAAGGGTTTCCCATGTTTGCTGCAGCAGAATTTCTCTGTGCTAAAAATTAACATCTGAATGACTGGGATATAGATTTTCAGTAAAGCAAGTTTTGTAAAACACTGCCTTAGGATTATCCCAGACCCATGGTGTATTGACATCATTATCGTAATTTATTTCACTGGTTAGTAAATTGGACAGCAAACATTCATCAATTTAATTTCGAGCAAATAATGACAACGATACACTATTTGATGGAATGTACATGCTATTTATTTCACAGGGTATTTATTTTTCACATAACTTTGCATTGAGCATCGATTGCAAACTTAAGTATCATACAAATGATGATATATACGTACAAGACATGAATGCTGAGTGCTCACTAAGTACAGGCAATCAGTTCACGAAGTGCATCTTTCACCTAGGGCTTCAGAAATGATGACACGGACTGGTACAATTTTTAAACTGGTCAGATTTTTGAGTTCAACAAGCTGTTCAACAACCGTATAAATGTGTTAACTGCTGGTCTACTTCTGCTATAAATATCTAACCTTTCATAGCAAGCTTAACTTGGTCACCCCTGAAATTTCATAATGAACTATTCCAACCTTTGAATTGGAAGAGTTTAAATGTGTCTTCAAGGGTGAATGAGTTAATTGAAGATGATCAATTTCTATGTAACAACAAGTTGTAGTTCCTTCTATTTGTAACATCATAGTTAAATGAACATGTATAGGTAAAACTAGAATTTGAATGAGGAACTTTAAATTAAACCATTGCATAAAAACCATGTTCATGACCCATTAAATTAGATTAATTATATAATTAATTGGCATTGCAAAAGGGAGATATATAGTACATGGGATTTATCAAATGGCCATGGTCTTATCATTGTATGTCAATGTCTGACAGGAGGGCCAATAAACTACTGTTCATTTAGGATTGTCTGACTCTTCTGTGATCAATAGTCGTAGCTGCCTTTTGTGCATACAGATGTGAGTAAACCTAGGCAAGGTAAGTTGTGTTGATCATGAGGCCTGAACCACCAGATATTGATCATGTGCTGTACCACTCCCGACAGTTTTACTAGGCTGTGATGTCATGCTTGGTAGTAGGTCGGACTTAGCATTATTCAGCATTACATCACACATATATATAACCCGGATTTTGTAATTTTATACTTTCGTACTATAAATGATGATAAGTTTCAAAGATATGTATCTCTCTTTACAGCCCCTAATCCAACTCTTAAAGATATTTTAATATAACGTCTTAAAGTTTGCAACAAAGTGTGCAACATTTCAAGATTACCCTGAAATAAAATTTGCTACACTTATCCCGAAAAGAGTTCTACATTTGTTGACAGAAAAAACTAAATCAAAATTCATGAAAACAAAAGAAACTCTTTTTTTGTCGCGGGGGGGGGGGGTGAAGTTAACAAACATAAGGATATAATCCAGACATTCCTTATATTAATGCCATTTTGATGTCAAATTTCCTGTTAAGTCTAAAATTGAAACCTACCTACAGAAGTAAACTTTATCCAAGAGGAATATGACTTAATCCCAGTTTAGGATAAGTAATTGATTGACATTTTCCTGAATGCAAGGCAATGAATGTTTTTTTAACACCCCCACCATCAAAGTCTGGGGGTTATACTGGAATTGGGGTATCTGTCCGTTAATAGACCGACGTTGTTCACCAAACTCCTCCTAAAGTCCTACATCAATTTGAATGATTCTTGGTACTCATAATGCTTACATTGAGAGGATTCTTGGTACTCATAATGCTTACATTGAGAGGATTTTAATTGGTTATGTAAATTGCTGTCACCTCTCCTTATTAAGGAGTTTGGGTTCTCCCAAAGTATGCCATCGTTTTAGAGTTATTTGGTGCACAGAGCCCTTACATAAACAGAACGTAAATAAAGTGCTAAATTGGTGTTACCTCCCCTTTTATGGAGTTATGTCCCTTTAATTAAAAAAAATATATCTTTAAAGAAATATTCTCGGTGCAGACGGGCATATAAAACTGCCATACTCATGACAGTTCCAGTTTTTACAGGAATATTGGGAGGGGGCATTTAAAGAATATCAAGGGAAATTATTGATTTGGTTTGCAGTCATGCGTTAAATAGATAAAATTCAATAAGACTAGTATCTAGTTAAAACGTTATAGAGGTAAAGCTGTCTTTAGAGTACTAGTATCTAGTTAAAACGTTATAGGGGTAACACTGTCTTTAGAGTACTAGTATCTAGTTAAAACGTTATAGAGGTAACGCTGTCTTTAGAGTACTAGTATCTAGTTAAAACGTTATAGAGGTAACGCTGTCTTTAGAGTACTAGTATCTAGTTAAAACGTTATAGAGGTAACGCTGTCTTTAGAGTACTAGTATCTAGTTAAAACGTTATAGAGGTAACGCTGTCTTTAGAGTACTAGTATCTAGTTAAAACGTTATAGAGGTAACGCTGTCTTTAGAGTACTAGTATCTAGTTAAAACGTTATAGAGGTAACGCTGTCTTTAGAGTACTAGTATCTAGTTAAAACGTTATAGAGGTAACACTGTCTTTAGAGTACTAGTATCTAGTTAAAACGTTATAGAGGTAACGCTGTCTTTAGAGTACTAGTATCTAGTTAAAACGTTATAGAGGTAACGCTGTCTTTAGAGTACTAGTATCTAGTTAAAACGTTATAGAGGTAACGCTGTCTTTAGAGTACTAGTATCTAGTTAAAACGTTATAGAGGTAACGCTGTCTTTAGAGTACTAGTATCTAGTTAAAACGTTATAGAGGTAACGCTGTCTTTAGAGTACTAGTATCTAGTTAAAACGTTATAGAGGTAACGCTGTCTTTAGAGTACTAGTATCTAGTTAAAACGTTATAGAGGTAACGCTGTCTTTAGAGTACTAGTATCTAGTTAAAACGTTATAGAGGTAACGCTGTCTTTAGAGTACTAGTATCTAGTTAAAACGTTATAGAGGTAACGCTGTCTTTAGAGTACTAGTATCTAGTTAAAACGTTATAGAGGTAACGCTGTCTTTAGAGTACTAGTATCTAGTTAAAACGTTATAGAGGTAACGCTGTCTTTAGAGTACTAGTATCTAGTTAAAACGTTATAGAGGTAACACTGTCTTTAGGGTTTGGTGATCTTTACACTTCATTTCCAGTTGACAATATTCTTGTTTCAATTTTACAAAGGATTTAATACTCCTTGCTTAAAGATTGCCATTAAAACAAGCGAGTTTCCAAATAATTTTTGACAAAGATACTTGTCATGCCAGCTGCAGAATTCCTCGTGATATAAAGCTTTACACCTCATTAAGAAACTGCTAACTATTAACTAGGTTACTGCTGGAATAAAGGACAAGAAGTTAGCTGGTTTTGCATTATAAATTGC